AAAGAAAAGAAAAGAAAAGAAAGAAATGAGGAGAGGCACCAAACTGAACAGCAAAAAGAAAACAATTTTTTTTTAAATGAGGAGGGGTACCTGGGTAGTTCAGTCAGTTAAGCTTCCAACTCTTGATCTCAAGGTCATTAGTTCCAAGCCCCTCAGCATGGAGCCTAATTTAATTTTTTAATTTTGTATAAAGATTTTATTTATTTGACAAAGCAAGCGAGAGTAGGACACAAGCAGGGGTAGTGGGAAAGGGAGAAGCAGGCCTCCCTCGGAGAAGAAAGCCAGATGTGGGGCTCGAACCCAAGACCCTGGGATCATGACCTGAGCCAAAGGCAAATGCTTAACGACTGAGCCACCCAAAAACTAATTTTTAAAAAGTTTTTTTAAATGAGGATAGGTTAAGGGATGGCTTGGACAACATCAAGTGAACAATCATTCGCATTATAGGGGTCCCAGAAGGAGAACAGAGAGACAAAGGAGCAGAAAACTTACTTAAAGAAATGATAGTCAAAAACTTACCTAACCTGGGAAAGGAAACCGACATCCAGAACAGGAAACAGAGCTCCAAAGATGAACCCAGGGATGCCCGGGTGGCCTGGTCAGTTAAGCATCTGCCTTCAGCTCAGGTCATGATCTCAGGGTCCTGGGGTCGAGCCCCGCATCAGGCTCCCTGCTCATTGGCAGCCTGCTTCTCCCTCTGCCTGCCCCACCAGCCCCCCAACCTTGTGCTCACTCTCTCTCACCGACAAATAAAATCTTAAAAATTTTTGAAAAAAAAAAAATGATCCCAAAGAGGTCTACACCACAATATTTAATAATCAAAATATCAAAGGTGAAAGGTAGAAATTCTCACCTAGAACTATGAAATTAAAAGATCTGAGAGTAGGTATGAAAATCTGCATTAAATAAGCACGACATGTAACTTTATGCTTACCAAAGTTTTTGAAGAGGTAATGACAGATTTTAAATTCCTTAAGGTTGCTTAAGACAGGTACCAATTTAGAATGACATGTGTGTATGGTGGGGGCAGGAACGATGGATGGAGTAGGAAGAGCGCTTAAGGCTGACAGACCTAAGAGTCTGGAAACTGGCCTCTTGAGAATTGCTGGGGGCGTGGGGAAGGTCACACACATTCATTTGTTGAATTGGGTCCAGGAACCCAAAATAAGAACTGAGAACCCTAACAAAAACAAACAAACAAAAGAATTGAGAACCTCATTCCCTCTCAACTGATCCAGAAATGGAGGTAGAGTCAGAGTAACCAAATTAATTTATTTTAAACCAATGACTCTCAAGTTTCATGGCTTGTTAAACCACACGTTGCTAGGCCCCACACCAGATTCTGATTGAGTAGGCCTAAGGTGGATCTAAAAACGCATGTTTTTAACAAGTTCTCAGGTAAAGCTGCTACTGCTGACCAGTGACCTCCTTCCTCTTGGATTTTCTCACTGATCAAGTGGGCAACAGTGATGTTCTGTGGATTAATGAAAATAAAGATATGGAAGTGCTTTTTCATTACATGTGTTACAACGTATTATATTGTTGGAGTAAAATCATTTATTGAGTCAATCTAGACAGGTTTTCTCCAGTGTCACAAAATCTTTCACCCAGTGTGAAAAAGCCAAAAAGTCAATCCAAAGTAATTCTTTTGAAAAGTCAGGTTATGGGAGTGAGCAGGCACCGTGCTGGGCAATTCATATCTTCTTACCACCCACATGTCCCCTGCTCCATGGGCCCATCCCACCCACAAGGCCACCATCCTGACCCTAGGGAATGGCTCCAGGCACCAGCACTGTATTATTCCCATCCTTCACCACAGATGACCCTCGGACCCTCTGGCCCGAACTTTCCCAAAGTCTCAAGAAGAGAGGAATTACTCATCTGTTCTCCCTTTTAATTCCTTTCTTCAGACCCAATGCCCTGTTTTGCCCCACTCTAGTTCTCTGTTCTCGACCTCACTAAAGTCCCATGCCTGTGGCAGTTCAGGCTAGGAGTCCTTGAAGGCTAGACATTTCATTTTCCTTTTTCAGCAACACAACTGAACACTATTTAACTTGTCATTTTAATAAAAAATCCTAGATATGCCCAATGCAATGACAATAACTATGCTTTCTATTAAAGTTAGGGGGAAAATCCCATGAAATTAGGTCCAGTTTTTGATGGTTGGAGTCAAATTAGGATAATCTGGTGCTTCCAAAACTGCTGCGTGATTCCAAAACACGGCTATGGGGCCTGCTAGAGCCGCCCCTCTCTGGACAAACTCTAATTCCCAAATTCCATGACCCAGAGACAACCTCTTCTTCCTGATTAGTTAACCATACAATTTAATGTTTCAGATTTCATTCAGGTAAGTAACATTCCAGACACTTGGTTTTCTGGAAAGATTTCCTGACCCGAAAATGCTCCCCGGTCACATCTCATTTTTGTTTTCTCTCTAGAGCAAGGTTCCTGGAAGGGGCAAAGCAGAGACACTCAGTAAAGTCTCTGGATTAATGGGAGCTATGGGGAGGCAAGGCAGAGGGAGTAGAGAGGAATCAGGATGTTAACTGAGACCCTAGCTCGAGGGGAGTCAGGAACTACATTTCTGAGTGGTTCTGAGGGACTAGAGCTTCTTAGACAACTCACCACTGGCTTCAAAGCCCTGGGTGACTACTCCCGCTCTTAGTGTGGTCTATGAGGCCTTGGGAGGACCCGCCTTCCTCCCTTTCCAGCCCTGCCTTCAGTCTGCTCCCACCCCAGCACCGGTTCCCAACATCTCTCTATGGGGCTGCACATCTCTTCCAGTCTCCTCCATCTGGAAAAGCTGACTGCTGACACCTAACTTGGCTCTCACCTAGAACTGACTTCCTTGGGGGTAATTTCCCTGACCTCCCCCCCCCCCCCGCCTCAGGTCCAGTCTCAAGCACCCTTAGGCTCCTCCAAACACTTGGTGGTTGGGGGCCACATTCCCCACAACACAGGGGTTACCAGGTGTCCTGCCGTGCCTCCCCAGAAGCCCATGGTGGGAGGCCTGCTTGGGCTATCTGCTCCAGGACAACCCAGGAGCGTCTATACCCCTTCCCCACTCCATGCAGTTTCTTGTGACCATCAAAATTTATATGCATATTTAAATGTGAAAATATGAATCGTGAGGAAGGGGGTGTGATTGATGAGCCTTGGTTTTCCTAATCCGTAAAAATTGCTTTTGTTTATTGTTTTGTAAGCAATCCTGGCTTTCCTCAACTCCGCCCTAGATTTACCTCCCCTCTAAATCTAGTCAGTGCTAATGTCCACCCTTCCGTAGAGCAGAGGTCATTTCCATTACAATGAAAGCTGCTTTGCTGCTCTTAATCCTACACTAACCATTGATAGAAAACAGGCCAAAAGCTTAAAACTCAAGGGGGAAAAAAAAGGCAGCCACCCCAAGACAGTTTTTTTTAATCTTCAGATTCCAAAACCTTTCCTGTGAATTTTCTCAAAGTTCTGTGGTTTGTTTTTTTAAGGCTGAAAAATCTTCAGTCCAGGGCACATGCAGACTTATGGCATATGCTTAAAGTTCCAAATTTTGCTACTTTGACACAGATTAACCTGGAGCTGTTTATTACACTTGGAAGCACTGCCCTTAGGGCAGAAATTCCAGGCCTTCAGGGCAAGGAAGTTTTCTGTTTCATTCTCACATGGCAGAATTTGAATTCCCAACTCTCCAGTTTACATTTTCACACACACTCCTTGCCAACAGACTTAAGGGTGCACTAGCTCAGGGCAGCTTGAGGGAGCCACAACTGCTGGTCCATAAAGCGGGCTCAAGCAAGGAGTGCTAACTCAGGAAGACTGCACCTAATAGTTCAGCAGAAAAAAAAAAAAAAAAGTTTGCCACTCATCTCTGGGTGAGCTTGTGCAGAAACAGGCAATCTCATATATTGCTGCTGGGTGTAAAATTATTTCAACCCCTGTGGAAGAGGCAATTTGGTAGTACCTAGCAACATTATATATATACAATTTTCTCTCTGGATCAGCAATTTTCCCTCTATTTATGGACCTACAGTTACCTGCACACTTGCAAAACAATGACCTTCATGGTATTCACCACAGCTATGGAAAGCCAAAGACTGGGAACAACCCAAAAATCTTTTGGTAGGTGACCGATTAAATGGAATCATCGCCAACTGTAAGGGATGGAAAGAATCTACATTTATGACTGTAATAGTATTTTTAAAAAACCTCTCGAAGAGTACCCAAGAAAATAAAGCTTTTTACTTCTGGAGAGTAGAAATAGCATAAATGGATAATTATGCAGATAATTTTTATAATCTTGTAAATGGACAGGAGAGACTTCTTTTTTTTAATCATTTTGGGATTCTGATCCATGAATGTATCTATTAAAAATTTGTAAGTAAATGTAAATATTAGTATTTAAGAAAATGCTGTTTATTCCAATATAGCAACAAGTATTCTCCCCTTAGACCACAGTTCTGCGTATCTCCTAGTGGTCTTCTATTAAGCTTACAAGTATATAAAACTACTACACTGAGAAGGTACTGGCATTTCTATGTTTTGGAGAATAATTTGCTTTCCATCTTACACATGTACCTATTACAGTTATTTTTTTTAAAGTAATCCAAGTCAGGGATGCCTGGGTGGATCAGTCGGTTAAGTGTCTCTGCCTTCCGCTTACTCAGCAGGGAGCCTGATTCTCCCACTGCCTGCCCCTCTCCCTGCTCGTGCAGTGACAAATATATAAATTCTTCTTCTTCTTCAAAAAAGAAGAATCGAGGTCAGTTCCAGACAATATCACACTTCCCCTAAAACTGACCGGGTTTTGATCAAAGCTGCATCTCAGAACCCAACTCCTATACCTTTTAAACCCTAACCATGTGTACTCTTGGACCTTTTTCTAGCTTTGATGGTTTTATTTAAGGGTTAAGCTCAAGGGCCACCTTGGCTGTGATGTTACCTCCAGTACTTCAAACATCAAGGAGCTACTTATTTAAAATTTTAGTCTTTAATTAACAAACCTGGGGGAAAAGCCACATTAGGACTGAGACAAAGGCGGAGACCCAAAAATCAGCTGTTTTTTCCTTGTCAGACTGGAGCAGAATTTCAAACAGACCACATGCATTCCACCTCTGGAGACAGAGTTTACTCTTTAAATCCTGATTCCAGGTACGCGGGTTGCAAACTGGCTTCACTTCATCCAAGGACCTAGCTCTAGGGCTTTCATGGCATCCTCAAGTTTGAGCATCCCTGCACCAGAAAGCAACAAGTGTGCGTGAGAGGGGAGGGTAAGGGCCTGGACAGTTCTCAGCCTCTTTCAAGGTTCCTTTCTGGACTTCTCAGCCTGGCATTCGGCACCTGGGATTCTTGGGAACGTCAGAAGGTGGGGCCGCTGAGCCCACTCCAGTATCCCCCAATAAGCTAGGGGGAGTGTTGGGAGGGAGGGTAAGGACTGGGATCAGGTCTCGGGTAACACTTCCCTATGAGGCCAGGCCGCCTCTCATCCTGGTCTTCCTCCAGGGTCTCTAGAACCAACAGACGGAATTTCATCATCTCAGGGGAAGCCCAGACAGGGAGGGATGCCCCTGCTGAAGCCTGAGGTCTGGGGGGTGGTTGCAGGGCGCTGGGGGGAGGGGAGGAGAGAAGGGCTACAGGAGAGGAAGTAAAACTACCCACGCGTCCCCAGGCCAAAGCACCTAGTAGAGAGGCCTCTCACCTCGTTCCTGTCGCTGGCGGTGCCATTCGGCCATGGACTGGAGCATCCACCTGGCCCTGAGCTTGTGCAAGTAAGAGCCATAAACCACGACCTCCGTGAGGTCCGAGGATTCCAGAACCTTTAGCTCGAGCATGACTTTGCTCACTTGCTCGATGTACGGGATTCGAGATCCCGCTGGGCCTGTATGGAGAAGAAAACGAGCGCTCAGGCCCACGGAGACCAAGACGCGCGGGTCAGGGCACCCAGGTCAGGACTGCTGGGCTCACTCACCAAACAAAGCCTCCAAGAGCTGCGTCTGGACCTGCAACACCTCGGGATCTTTCAAGTCTTCGGGAGCTTTCACCCACGGTGGAATATCTTTTCGTTCTTGTAGCGTCCCCATCTGCCTCGCCTCAAAACTAACTACGCTCCAACCTGGGCTAGGCCTGAGTCGCCGTGTGGGGAGGGGGGCCTCCGCGCCAGAGAGGCGCGCACCGGGACGGGCCCCGCCCACAAGAAGCCCCGCCCACAAGAAGCCCCGCCCCTGCCTGGCGGCCTAGTCTCCCACTTAACGCGCGAGGCTGGCCCACCTGGGCATTGGTGTTGCACGTGACCATCGCGGTCACTTTATCCTCTTCGCGGCACGGGTGGGCCCAGCTGTCTCCGAGTTTACAAGGGTTTCCACCCGTGTTGACTCGTTTCTTCCACACCGGAATCTCTTGGCGCTGGGATTGCGTGGGGGCAAGGGCAACGTCAGCTCTTCACCTGGAAACAAGTGATTGGGCCTGAACCCCGGAAAGACGAAAATCCAAGTCTGGACGGTGTGAGGACCACCAGGGAGCTGCCAAATCAAGTTCCTGCCTCCCACGTTCCAAAGGAAGGTCCCACTTCCCCTGTGCCAAACCCCGAAGTTTCACGTCACTGAGACCCCTACAACTTCCGGCGACTCAGGAGTAATTCCTGCCATTTAACAAAGAAGAAAAGGAAATTAAATTACTTATCGGCAAGGCATGGGATGGGGTCGCTAAAGTGCCCTTACTGTTCACCCTCCTTGAAGCCGCGAAGTCTGGAACTTTTCAATCTGTAATTTCAGAACTCATGAATGCCCCACCTGGACCCTTGGGCCCAAACTATATAGGCCAGACTAATTTTTTTTTTAATATGTATTTATTTATTTGAGAGCCAGCAAGCAAGGGTAGTGGCAGAGGGAGAAGAGAATCCTCAAGCAGACTCCCTGAGGAGCATGGAGCCTGATGCAGGTCTCAATCCCAGGACCCCGAGATCATGACCTGAGCAGAAATAGCTGCTTAACTGACTGAGCACCCAGGCACCCCTGTATAGGCCAGACTTCTGATTCTAAATAGTATTATTCATTTAAAAAACATGCTTTAAGTGATGCACTAGATTCATGCAATGAGTGTGTGATTTCAGGGTTTTATAGCTTCATAGATGTGGAAATTAAGCTGACGTTTCCCAAGACCATGTTCTGGTAACCTCCAATCCCATCAGCTGACTATTATGACTATCTCTTAGGGCAGGCTTCTTCACATTCAGCGGAAAAACCGTGTGTTTATGAGGCACCTGGGTGACACAATGAGTTGAGCATCCACCTCTTGATTTCAGCTCAGGTCATGATCTCAGGGTTATCAGTGCAAGCCCTGCATTGGGTTGCATGAGAGTGGAGCCTACTTAAGAAAACAAAAACAAAAACAAAAAACAATGACTGTATGTGAACCTACAATTATCCCAAAATAAAAAAGTTTAATTTAAAAAATGAAATCAGGGGCGCCTGGGTGGCTCAGTGGGTTAAAGCCTCTGCCTTCGGCTCAGGTCATGATCCCAGGGTCCTGGGATCGAGCCCCGCATCGGGCTCTCTGCTCAGCGGAGAGCCTGCTTCCACCTCTCTCTCTCTGCCTGCCTCTCTGCCTACTTGTGATCTCTGTCTGTCAAATAAAAAAAAAATAAAAAAAAAAATAAAAAAAAAAATAAAAAATGAAATCAGAATTGAAAATTTACAAAATCTGTCTGAATTTCGGTTGCCATCTTGGGATCCCTTTCTAGCTGCCATACACCACTGTGTTCTGTTGGCAAGAAAGCTGGATAGTTAAGAGACTTAAAGAGAACAATGTGGTACAAAATGATCAACATTATGTTCTCACATAAAGACCTTTTCTTGCTTAATGCCATTCACATTAAAGTCTACTAGATATTATTTAAACACTATCACTCCAGTTTAGTTTCTTTCTTATTGTCTAATTCATTTGTTTTTCTTTTCTTGGAGAATGTTTATGTCCTTTTGCATTGAGTGTCTCTATTAAGTTGTAAATAATTGGATATTTTAATACACTCAGGTTTTATTTTGGCTGAAAACTTTTAAATCACCTGAGTGTGTTATTAGGCTAGGCTTTTCCACCATCTAAGCACTCCCTGCACCCCAACATTTGTCACTAGCTATAAAAGTAAATACTTTCTTGACTAAAGAAGGTAGGATGGGAGTGATACAGGGGCTGGGAAAGTGACAGATATCTTCCAAAAAGCTGAGATCAGAGTTTTCTTGGAATTAGCATTCCAGAGCAGCTGGTGGCTCCTTTTACCTTTAAAAGAATTGATTTCGATTATTTACTTTTCAGACCTATAGCGTACTATATGGACACTGGAGCCAGATGCATCCATATTGACAATTATTACTTGTATTATTTAAAGTGGGATGTGTGGATGATGATAAAAAGCTTTCTTTAGAGTGGACTTTGGTGTTTTTGAATCTCGACCATAAGAGGAGATACAAAGCAGGAGCAGAAAGACCTAAAATAGAAAGAAAGATGCAATTATAAATACTCCTTTTTGGGGTGCCCGTGTGGCTCCGTGGGTTAAGCCTCTCCCTTCAGCTCAGGTCATGATCTCGGGCACCTGGGATTGACCCCCACAGGTCATGATCTCAGGCTCCTGGGATGGAGCCCCACATCGGGTTCTCTGCTCAGCAGGGATCCTGCTCCCCTCTCCCCTGCCCCTACTCTCTCTGCCTACTTGAGATCTCTCTCTCTCTCTCTCTCTCTCTCTCTGTCAAATAAGTGAATAAAATCTTTTTAAAAAGTAATACTCTTTGTTGTTGTTTTTTAGTTAGTGTAGGCAAATTTTATTTCTATGGTAGTAGCATTTATTTTGGGTATGGAAAAATAACACTATTTCAAAGTCAAGGTAATGAAGCAGAAATAAATTTTTTTCTCATATGTCCATACTCAAATAGCACATATGATTTCAAGACATTCTTAAATTAACAAGGAACAAATGCAGAATCCAAGTAGTATCTGTCAACAGAAGAGTTGCATTAAAGCTACATTATCAGCCCTAGAAATCAGAAAATTCAAAGTGATCCCTTGCAGTGATTCTCAACTTTACTGTGCATCAGAATCACCTGGATGATGGAAAAAGCACCTTCAGGGGACTGAAGGCAAATCACCAGATTAAACAAGCCCTTGGTCTCAGAATAAATACCAAAGGGGCTCAAGATACAAACGTGGTTCCTCAGAGAGGGGCAAAGACAAAATACAACATGATATGAGATCAGACCTTCACTTACTGTGTTACTTCTCTGAGCCTCAGTACAGGAATAATAATGCTACTCTCAAAATTGTGCTATAAATTAGATCAGATAGTGTATGATTAGTGCTTCCCTAATTCATTCATCAGCTACTATCATTATTTCATCATTATCATCATCATCATCATCATCATCATTATCAACATTATCTGATACAGAGGGCATGCTTCCCCAGCCCCCATTCTGACTCCCACATAGTCGTTAATTTTTTTTTTTAAATAACCACTTGGGCACCTAGGTGGCCCAGCTGGTTAAGTGGCTGCCTTTAGCTCGGGTCATGATCCTGGGGGCCTGGGATCGAGTCCCGTGTTGGGCTCCCTGCTCAGTGGGGAGCCTGCTTCTCCCTCTCCTCCTGCTCTTGCTCTCTCTTGCTATCTCTGTCTCTGTCTCTCTCAAATAATAAAATAAAATCTTTTAAAAAATAAATGAATAAAAATAAAAAATAACCACTCATTGGTTTCAAGTTCATGGACTGCTAGTACCATTTTTATATTGGTACCATTTTTACTAGCTTCAACCATTCACTTAATATAAGTGAATATAAAAAAATATATATATATGTGTATATATATATATATACATATATATATATGAATATAAGATAATACAAGATTTCAGTCCATGGCTGAAATGACAATTTTTCTATCTCAACTAAGTTGATGGGGGTGCCTGGGTGGCTCAGTGGGTGAAGCCACTGCCTTCGGCTCAGGTCATGATCTCAGGGTCCAGTGATTGAGCCCCGCATCGGGCTCTCTGCTCAGCAGGGAACCTGCTTCCCCCTCTCTCTCTGTCTGCCTCTCTGACTACTTGTGATCTCTCTGTCAAATAAATAAAATCTGAAAAAAAAAAAACTGATGATGAATTCAAAGAAAAAAGGAAACTAAACCTTAAAAAGTATGTGCTCTAGAAGCATCTAAAGCATCAATAGCCAGATGAGTGAACTGTTTTTCAAAGTGACTCCTTTTAGACAATCTCTGATGTTCCTTGTATCATTTTCTCGGTCTCAGGTTATTTATAGATGGAAACATGGCAGTAAAATACCTATAATCTCCATCACTTCCTATGTCCAATATACTACACAGTAATGTTACATGGTTGAAGCTTTTGGCCATTCATGTAACTACCTTAATATCTTAAATATCTGAGGTTTTTATATTCTGAAACTATAAACCTAAGCTATAGAGGTACACAGGCTAGGAAAGGGTTTCTCAACCTCAGCAAAACTGACATTTTGTATTGGATAATTCGTTTCTGTGGGGGCTGTCCTGTGCATGGCAGGATATAGGCAGGCATCTCTGGCCTCTACCCTACTACATACCAGTAGCAACCTTTTCTACTTCCCCATTTTGAAAACCAAGTGTCTCCAGATGTTGCCAAATGTCTTCTGAGGGTCAGAAATACCCGTCCTCCATAAAGAGCTACCAAGCTAGAATTTTATATAGATATAATTGTAAACTGAGTACACAGATTATACAAGATTCTATGCAGTTTTCCTAATTCAAAGAGTACAGCACAATAGTTTCTGCTGTACTATTTATGCTAGGGCACATAGTATTTATGTAATGTACTATTTAAGTATACAGTTACCCACACATAGCTATCTTTTTCCTATTGAAAACACTGACATTAAACAGGAAAAAAAAAAAACATAGCTAATCCTGCAACCATCTTATATTACCCAATATTAGAGAAAAACCTATGGTTTACAAACATTTGCTAAACAGAGACTGAGGTAAATCACTGCCAGTGTCCTTCCTTCTGAATTTGAAGTCTCTCTTTCTCTACTTGTAAGTTATTTTTCAACC